GCGATCCAAAGGCAGCAGCGCTCGGCCTGCTCCCAGCGTCTCCCTCTGCCTAAATCCGTCGTGGCCAACCTGGAGGCCAACCCACCGTGGAGACGGCGAAACGCTTCGCTTTCGTTTCCCTGCGCAACGACGCCCGGCCGTCTCCCCCTTCCGCGGCGCCCTGCGAGCCACTTTCGGTTTCCATTCTGCTTTCCGCGACTTTCTTTGCTTCCGATTCATTCCCTGGTTGGCTCATTCCGAGGAATCGGCTCGGTCTGACGATTCGCCCTGAAAAGCAGAGGATTTTCATCGGACGGCTTGGCCCGTCCTCGGGAAGCTACGTTACCCCGCTCCCCCGTCGTTAGTTTTAGAACTGCGAGCGGCGATCTCGCTGTCGGGTTTTCTCTTTGTTTGTTTGTTTGTTTGAGTTGGAAGAAAAACGGAGCCCGAGGGGAGAAAAATAACTATCGCAAAGCGAGAGGTTTGAGGAGAGAGGGGAAAATGACCGACGTGGAGCGAGAGAATTTGCTTCGCTGCAGGAAATATATAGTGAAGACTTTAAATCCTGCTTATATATTGAGCTACATGAAAACCTGGCTGTCCGATGGTAAGTAGGAACCGCCGAAGTTTTCTATCACAGACACGTTTTGTTTTGATGTCCCCGACCGGACGCCCTTTAGGAACTGCAGAAATATACAGTTGTCCTCAGCCCGGTTACTCCGGCCATCGGGCCTGCTGGTTGGCCGATGGGAACTGTGCTGCAACACTGGGAGGCTATCAGATTGTGGGAGATGGTTTACCCGACGCATTTGGGTTACATTGGGGAATAGGGGTACATTAAGCGACAGCCTCCGTGTCATCTAGCCCAGAGTAACTGTGGCCGCTGTTGACGTAGAAATGAGTATGTGATCTGGGGTGGTTTTGGAGAATATTCGGTTTGTATTTTTGGAATGGGGAAACATGCCCAAATTAAGAGCGAATGAACTGAAAGGAGCTCTTTTTCTATGACACTAAATTATTTTATGACCAGGCACGTCAATTAATTGGTCGACTTAAGAATTAAAACACCTGCCTGCAATTACATGTCACGCTAACCAGGAACTTCCTAATGATGTTTAGAGACAGGATGAGTTAAATTAAGGCTGCAGTTGAGGACCCACTTCTGAGGAACCCCGCTGCTTTTCTACACACGCTCGGATGCAAATGAAAGCCACCTAATTTGAGAGCACAAATCTACATATTCATTTCGCTTGAGCGCACGGGAGGTCATACATGAGCGATGCCTTCGGAAAAGAGGGTGGTAATTGCTGGACAGAAAGGCGCTGAAAGAAAATGCTTTTGGGGAGCTCATGTGCTTCATGGTCAACAGAGAACTCGAGAGGCACCTACACGAACTGTTAGCCCACCACTGTGACTCCAAACTGCTTTCAGAGAGAAGTCAGGCTACGCGGGCTCTGGCATAATGATGATGATGATGATGATGATAGTTGCGTTTTAGCCATCATCTTTCTTGCACCCGTTTTGTGGCGGCTTTGCATACAGGACGTCCGAGTTGCCGGGCACTGAGAAGGCATTCACGGTTGGGTTTCCTGGGCTTCGTGCCCAGCGCAAACGGCTTGGTTGGTAGCTTCGAGATGACTCAGGGGAGCTCTCCCAGAAGAAGAGCCTAACTAAGCTTTGCAAAGGTTGCGGCTGAGCTCCCAGCCTGCTCTTTCTCTGAATTATCTTGATAACCTGGAGGGGGGGGGGAGCGGAGCAGGGCACTATTGGCTGAAAGCAGCTGAGGGGCGGAGCAAGAATCCGGCCAGCAGAGGGCGCTAAAGCCCTCGTCCTGCTGCTTCCTTTTCTTCTCCCCCTCCGAAAATTGCAGGATTTTTCCTCTTCCGCTTGAAGCAAAATAAGCGATAGGGACCCAAAGTAAGCAGTGGCGGGCTGGAAATCCAAAGTACATTTCATTATTTGAAACAAAGAAAGATTGATACAGTTCATACACGGAACCATGGTCTTTCCTTTCAGAGGACCCAGATGGAAAGCTCCGAAAGGGAGTAAGAAAAAGTAAACCGAAGAAATTGAAGGCGTGAGGTCAGAAGAGGAAATAATAGCTAAATCTTCGTTATGCCAACAGCATTCACAATACCTCTCCACAATTTCCTATTCTTGCAAACTGTCCTTTATTCCACCACCTCCATATGCTGCTTCACACATTGCCTTTTGTTCTTTAAACTTACCTCTGCATGAGGCTTCCATCATCCCCATCTAATCGTGATGGTTCTCAGTCTTCCTCTTGTCGCATTCATTTTTCCTTTATATAGTTGTTTGCAGTCTAATTCTTGTTGTTCTCTGTATACTTTTTCCATAACAGTTAACTCACTTTTTAATTCAATCCACATTCAGAACCCAGATGATTAGGTTCAAGGGACTGATGTTCAGGAATAACAAAATGCGAAAAGTAGTTTGGTTTCACTGTAAAGATTTTTTAAAATTAATATAATGATGTTTAATGACATGCCCTTTGTATCAAAGTACAAAAAGACATCAGTTTTAATAGCTTGCTCCCTCCCCTCCCCTCCCCTCCCCTCCCCT